AATGTTTATTATTTAGATTCAATTAAATTTGGCATTAAATTCCAAACTAAAATTGTTAAGAAAACCTCAATTGTTAAGCAAAGATAATGAATAATTAATAGAAAAGAGAAAATGCTTAATAATTAAGCAAATATTAAAAGTATTAAACTTTTTTTTACAAATAATTTCTAATATATTTTATACTTATTTATGATCAATACTATATTAATAGCAATTGCAAAAAATGGTTTCAATAACTATGAAAAGTTGACAAAATATTTATTAAAATTCCAACTAACCTAATACAGTATTAAATTACATTTATAAAACAAATGGTTTAAAAACACAAATGAATACAGTATAATACTGTACTATGATATTAATAGTAATATTATTCTTTATGCTTTTATCAGAAAAGTTGAGTTTATTTTGTTTTCTAATACACTCTCTATATTCTGATGTGTTTATAGTTTTATATAAATATTAATACAAACTTTTGACTCATTAAAAGCTAAAACGTAGGCCACATAGCGAGACAGTATTTTCATGAACCTGGATACAATACACTTACAATTTAATATTCTGGTGAAACTTCATTGAATACTGTATTACTTCAGTGGAAAGGGGTTTAAAATGAGTGCACAAACGAAGGCATAGTTTATGAGTGGGAGATAAGCGCCGTCTCTCTGGGCATCACATGTTGTGCTCATTCACTGATTCACTGATTCAGTCAATGAGTGTCTATTGGACTCACTATTTGTGTCATTCAGTCATTTGTTAACTATTTATATGTTTTTTAATTTCGTAATTAGTTTATAGTTTTAATCAATTTATAGTTAATATCCATATATTTATTCATTGATTACATACAAAATAGACTATTATTTTCATTACACAACTCTTGGCACTGAAGGCAAGTGTCTGTGATATCAACTCACAAATCGATGTCCAAAATGTCAGACTATATATCCACGCGATCGGCGCTATTCATACTGACCGTCATATTCTTGGGATCCGTTTCGTGTCTAAGTCTTGTTTACTATAACTTCCCTAAACTCGAGCCGTAAGTCATTGATTGTCACCGAAATTCATACTCATGTCATGACATCCCCGCAGGTCTGAAAGAAATGACATAAAACTGCCGAAGAATATAGAAGACGCCAAACGGTTGGGAACAGTATTATCTCTGTATAAAGACAAGTATTTTGTGGTCGTCTTAAGCGGTTTTCTCGTCACTTACGTCTTGTAAGTCCTGACCATTTCATAATTCATATGATATTATAATTCATTTCATAATCTATTGTTTATGGGAACTAATTCGGGTGACAGTCTTCAGTCGTTTGCAATTCCCGGTTCAATATTCCTCAGTATTTTGTCGGGATTTCTGTTCCCATTCCCGATGGCTATGTTCTGTGTCTGTTTGGTATGTCATAGATCTCGCGGTATGTTATCATAATCTAATGGTTATATCTGGCGGTCATTGTCTAGTGTTCAGCGGTGGGCGCCTCCCTATGCTATCTGTTATCATATTTAGTCGGAAGACGTATTGTCCTCAAGTATTGGCCCGAAAAGGCGGCTCAATGGGCGGCACAGGTAGCCATCAATTGATTATTTAGTCATACAGTACACCATTGTTTGTATGATTAGGTGGACAAACAAAAGGATAACCTCATGTATTACATCATATTCTTGAGGATCACACCATTGCTTCCCAATTGGTTCATAAACATAACGTCCCCTTTAGTCGACATTCCTCTGACCACGTTCTTCATCGGAACCTTTTTCGGTATGAATAGTGTCTCAGTTTTTTGCCCTTCAGTTCAATTCACGCCAAGAGATGTCATTCACTCAATGGTTGCGTGTATTTTGAGCCCATTTTTCCTCTAAAACTTTAATGAATTGAATTTGAGTTACAATTAAATGACTTGTAATTAATGTGTGTGTGTGTGGTGTAGGGGTGGCGCCGCCCTCATTCATCGCAGTCCAAGCGGGCACAACCCTCCAGAAGTTGACTTCGAGTGCAAATATCCTTTCGTGGCAATCGATCGTTGGTCTCATCGTATTCGCTGCCATTTCCGTGATTCCAGTCCTAATGAAAGGCAAACTTAAAGACAAATTTAAGATACTTTAGGACCGATATGTGCGCAATTTTAGTCAATTATTATTATTATTAAAATATTGTATTTTTCCTTTTGGCTGTTTTTATCATCGATTCATTATTTCTTTAAATTTTATTTGTTTTTTAGTTATTTTCGAATCTCTTCCACAGAAACCCCGAAATTATGTATTGATTTGTAAATTAAAAATTAAGTTTTCAAATTGTATTCAAATTGTAATTGTTTTGGTTTATTTTCAATCTAAAATATTTTCTATCAAATCGTAACTCAAAAATTGCAACTAAATAAACAATTTGTTGAGTTGAATGCTATAACTAACTTGTAAATCAGTTCATAGTTTATAAGTACTTTTAATGAATTAGAAATATGTTTTTTAGTTAACTGAGAAGGACTCAGAAAACTCAATAACTACTATTATATTTAAATTAAAACCAATCATTATGATCACAATCCTTGTTAAACAAATTCTTAGTTTATTAAAAGGTCGCGCCCGGGACCTTTTAATACAATTTGTCTTTCCAATTATTTCTAATACTTTCCACCCATTTATCTGATATAATAATAAGTTATTGGAAAAACATCTCAAATGAAATAATTCTTAGTTTATCTAAACTTACGAGTTTGTAAAATTTAATGTAACAATTTGTGTACATTATCAAGCTATTTAATACAAATTATCCATTAATTAGTTGAAAAATAAAAACTCGCTCTAGGATCTATTCATCATATTTATTACGAATAAAAAATAATAGGTTTTTAATTATGTGAGAGCATTACAAGTCATGCAATGAGGGTCATATCAAGGGTTATTTTTATTTAAAACAGCAAATATTTTGACATTTTAGTTATTTTTAAACAAAAACTGATGAAATTTAAGACTTCTCTATCATTAACGGTAAGATTTTTAATCAAACAAATGAAAAATTACTTTAAAAGTGGTTTAGGCAATTTATTAAATACATGCAAATTTTTTCTATTTAGATTCATATTTAGTGAATATTTAAATTGATTTTTAGTTTATTATTTATTTTTAAACATTAGTTAATTGGTGGTTACTTAAAATTGTATTTTATATATTTATTAAAAATTTATCTATACTGTGTAATTATTTATTAGTATCGATAACAACATGCTATATATTTTGTTTTATAAGGCGTTAAAAGTTATTTTAAATAATCGTTGTAAAATTAAACTATACTTTTGTCACATTTATTATAAGCATAAAAATATTGCCACTAATTTTACAATCAATTTATTTAATCGTTAAAATACTCAGGTTTTTATAATCGAAATATTGTTAATAAAGGCATAAATTATAGACAGGAATCCTATTGAAGACATTTATCGCACATTTTAATGAGGAATAAAAGTCATAAAAACAACTTTTTATTATTCTATACATAATTTAAAAGCAATTTAATTATATTTCGTTCAGATCTCTCTCACACTGATTAGTGTTAGACTACAATATAATTAGTAATTATATTTATATTATTTGTTTTTCAAGCATCTATTTTTACAGTGGTGTTTGAATTAGTATTTCAAGAGTTTGTTATCGAGGCAAAAACACAATCATAGAGTGATAGAGACGTGTATTTATTTGTCACAATTGCAACACAACCTCATTATTGAGGCATCGATTGTGGGCCCAGTATTCTTGTATTAAATGCATTTCGCTCTCGTATTTGTGTATCAAATGTTTAATTGACTCAAACTTATTAATGGTTTGAGTTAATAGCAGTGCTCTCATAATAGTGTACACAAAAGAAATGGTCGTAAAAATTATGACCAAGCTCTTATATACTGTACAGCAATTGCTAGAGTAGTGCTCATCATATCATAAATGACAGCATTATTATTGCTCTTAAGCGACGGGAGGTTTTAGTAGCAGTGCTCCTGTATTTGACACATTTGCAGACATTAATTTATGGGTAATCATGTAATAGTTAGTGATATCTTATCTCATTATCAATATTTTTCAGCTTATATTCAGACACCGTATTATAGTTAAGCACACACTTCAGGCCCACTATTCACTCACCACTGCTTTCGGATAAATTCATTTTCATTCATACTTTCTAACAATTGTTTGTATTTAATCGGCTTTTATGCATAAAATAATATTCTTTCTTTCAAATCATTATTTTCATTAAATTATATCATTTGAAAAGTTTAAGAGTTTTAAATTTCAAGTTTCCATTTATAAACTCCTTATATATAACACAAAAACTATTATCCATGCCGTGGCTTAAAGTTTGGGCTAATAAACCGAAAACTATATCTTCTATATTATAATTTCATACTTAAGTGATATTTGAGTGTAAATTTGATAATTAAATCTAATATTTGATAATAAGCTGTATTTGCTTTTAAGCGATGAAAGATTGGATGTTTAAGTGATAAACCAGAAGTTCATAAGACATCACACTATTTGGTCCATTCATTCATTTCACACAAATGTCAGTGAAAATGAATTGCAAAGAAAGTGCAACAAAGCGATGCAGAACTCGATTCAACTTATGGCAGATCCGAAAACTTGAGAAAGTCTTTCATGAGACCCATTACCCGGACACTCAGCAAATGGAAGTGTTGGCCAGTGAGACAAGTATTTCAATGTCCAAAATGCAGGTTTGNCACAACCCAATGCCTGCCAAATGCATATGAGGAACAGGAGGCGCACAGGGATCTGTGTTGCAAATCTATTATGCCATACCATAACATAGTTTTCAATTAAATCATCATAATCGTAATGATTATATGAAAATATAGTGTTTTATTGTTTACAATATTGAGATTTTAAAGTTATATTACTTGATATTTTGTGTTTATTAAGATAACGTTTCATTCAACCTTACCTTATTATTTTGAAAACATATTAATTATTATTATTCTGATAAAATGCAAATGTAAATTGCAATATTGATGTTAATCTACTAGTACAGTATTAAGATATCAATATTTAAAGTACAGTGAAAATATTTTTTGTTTCGCATATTAGTCAGAAAGAGAGTATAGTATTTAATATATTTTGCAAAATTAATATTTTTGTGTCTAATTATCATGAATTTTGCACACCCTATGAGCAGAATAAGTTAGGGGTTATGCAAATGCCTAACAATATAAAAGTG